GAAGCTACCTTATAGGGTTCTGGAGGACTTAGCGGTCTTAAATTTGTTAATTAAAGACAGATATAGAATGGACTTAGTGCTAAAAATTAGTGTGTTAGGCAAGTTCATGGCACACCTAACAGATCAGGAGTCAGAGGACTCAAATGGGGGATGCCTGGTTTCTGAATTCCAGACTGCTTCAGTTGGGCATCAAACACCCAGAACAGGATTCAGCTCCACTTGCATTGGACATGAAGCTAGGTGTCCGCTCTAAGCAGTGGAGAGGCAGATCTTAAACTACATGTTTAAGCATCTTAGGCAATCTTAAACTACAAGTCTGACCTATGTGGGAGGAATCACCATCAGACAAGAGGCCGAGTGAATGGCTTTAATATTTGACTTGGAGGTGACTAATATCATCTTGTATAAAATTACCCTAGATCTTTAGGTCCAGCAAGATTACTGTGGTAACAACAAGTGCAGCAGAAGAATTTCAGGGTGTCAAGGTTGTGTAAACTGGTGAGCAAAGGCAATTGTAGACTTTGAGACATTTGCAGGAAGTAAGTGCTTTTAGTTTTTGTTTTAGCTTTTTAGTAGTATGAACTCCTTTTCATATTAAGTTGCATTTCAGATCAAGAACTGCTATTTTGAAACTGGTAGACCATAGGAATTTGACACCTAAAATTAGCTAGAAGGTACACTTCTATTTGGGTTATGGTTTGACAGATTTCAAAATCTATTTCTATAAAATAAAATTCCGTCAGAGATATCTATTTCTCTCTATTGATTACAATAGAAACTTAGATGACAAACACTTGGATGACAGCCTCAGACATAGTTCCTTAGCTTCTGGATGTCTTAAATCAGGTGAGATGAGTCCCACCTCAGGTGTTCCATCTAATGTCGTTATGGAGATCTCCATTATAATTAGTGAAAGGGACAGGCATACCCAGAAGGTGATTTAAACCATCCTAGCACAGATAGATAAAGGGAAGAACGCACAGATCTCTAGAAATGTCTCTCTCTTTTCTTTGTGTTGGAATCCTAGGAGATGTTTAGAATAGCTGACAAAATTTTAGACTGTTAAATCTAAATGAAATGAATCACACTCTTCACTTCTTCTAACCTGTATGCAGAAAATGTAGGTAACAGCACTCTTTTACGCCTTCCAGGAATTAATCTTTAACAAAAGAAATTCTGAGGTGCCACAGTGGGAGAGAGGGTGAGAAAGGTGCAACAGTAGTATAGTTTCCAACCCTGTGTACTTTCTGGATGGGATAAAAGCTGCTGTAATTTAGGTATGTGTGATGAAGCATGCAGGAGAGTTTATTCTGCGTGGGTGGATGGACAAGGCCATATCTTAGATGTGTTGGATGTGTTGTGTAGAATGACTCTTCAACATTTGGCCTGGTTATGAAGACATGGAGAGAAGGAGAAAACCAAGCTGAAGATGATGTCAAGGTAGGAGCATGACTGACAGGTTGGATGATAACGTTGTCCACAGTGATTGAGAATGGAGGCGGAGGAGAAAGGAGACAAGGTTTGGGAGGAAAAGTTCAAAAGCTCTGTTTTATACATATTGAGCTTGATCTGACAGCTAGACATCCGCTAGGAGATGCTGGAAAGACAGGCCAAGATTTTAGGTTGGACAGGAGTCAGTCCTGCAGTAAAGAAGTTAGATTTGCAAGCTGTCATTATAGAAATAGTAGCTGAATTTGTGTCGGTGGATAAGGCTGCTAAGGACAAGGCTTGGATGAAGAAGGGAAGAGAATCAAGGGAAAAGAGCTGTTTATGTCCCCATATGGATAGGGAAGAGAGACAGGAGAGGACAGAATAACCAATGCTGAAGGTGCAGAGCATATAATTGCTATAAATACATTATAAATACATGTAAAAGTACAGGAAAATTGTGATCTCTCATAAAGGAGGACATGGAGGTCAAGTAAAACACTATCCTAAAGCTGATGAATTGATAGAAATATGATTTTAAATGATCTAAAAAAACCTCTCCTGGCAGGTATATACAGAATAAATTTTGGCCTGCTCAAAAGTAAGGGACATTGGGAAAGTTATTTCTCAAAGCAATTGATTGTGTGAAAATTGGAAAGTTGTAGACCTGTTTGGTGGGCCCTTAGGAGAAACCAGTGCCTTGCATAGAGAAGTGGTCTTACGATGGATGGCGGTCAGGCATCTGTCCAAAGAAAAGTTAATAATTTTTTTTTTTTTAAAAAAGGAAAAAACTTTAATAAAAGAAAGTTGCCTTTTGAAACTATTAGGCAACATATGTTGTGTGAACAGGAAGTCACAGTAGAGCAATAATCCTGACAGCTGTGGTGAAACAGGAGTCTGCCGCAGGAATGAACGGCTCGAGACCTGACAAGAATGATGATGGATGCCCCTTTGGTAGTACACGAGGACAAGGCAAGAGACGTTTAAATTGGCTGAACCACAGGAACAACTTTGAGTTGGCATCGCAGCCGGACAAATGAGGCCAGTCCTAACGGTGAGAGAAATGGGAGGGGGGACTGAAGGAAGATGGCAGCAACGCACCCCTTCCTCCTTTCCAAGGATGAGGGCTGCATCGCCATCTCACCACGAGGTGGCTGCATTTCTCTGTGAACATCCAAGTCCTGAGAGCAGCTGCACACCCCGAAGCACCATGAGAATGAGCATGGGAAGAGAGATCACTTGCAGGATTTGACCCATCTTGTTGAAAGCACCTGAAACGTTTTGAGGCCCTGTGGGAAAAACAGTTCGTGATCCAGTGGAGCCACTCGACAGATCCTCACTAGTCTGCTGAGTCTTGGTAACCGCCCGTGTGCTTGCTCATAGCTCATGGTAGACACAACGCAATGCCACGTAACTTAGCTTGTAATGAAGAGGATGAAATTAATAATTTTCTACTTGCTTTTCCTGTGAACTAAGAGTAGGCACGTGGACTGCTGCTAAGGCTCAGCCAATTCATGGAAATTTGTCAAGCCATGGAAACTTGAACGTGAATCTGAGATCTGCATCTAGTAAGGGTTAAACTGTGATGCTTTTTCGGATGCCCACATTTGGTTATTTAATAACATTTCTAGAGCAGTTATTTGAGTCAAATAAGGCAACAGAAAAAATGGTCCCATAAAAAACTAACTCATGAAATGGCCAAATTCCTCATTGTTTTGCACATCCTAAGCTCAGTTGATGTCAGCAGGATGGAATAGAAATTTGCTCCCTAGTGGTCAAAAAATGAGTATTTTTTCTTATCTAAAGTGTGCTGAAAATAGGAAGATAAGGGCTGGGGAAGGGTAAGGATATTTTGGGTATAGTAGATCTAGATAAAATCTTCAGCTCTTCTTGGGCTTTGTCTCTTTTCTCTCATCTTCCTCTCACCTCTGTGACCTCAGTTTGCAAATGTTTTAGGACAGGAACTGACTTTTTATTACACCTTTTTGTGGTACCACACCCTGTGGAACTGCAATTTTTTATGTTGGTTTACACACATTATCACTTTGAGTCAGAGTTCGAAAGAAAGTTACTAAAAGTATCTCTTTGACCTGTCTCAGGAAAGATGCCCATAATACTTCACTATGAGATGTCAGCATTAAGTCCAGTATCTGGTTTTGTTAGAAGAAATCTTTTAGGAAAAGACTCCTAAAAGCATTGTAATACTTCAAAAAATTGGGACCCCTATCTGTAGGGAGGTTTTTTTAATAGCATCACTGGTAAACATGTACTATTTTTAATGTGTAAGATGGGGTTCAAAAAAATGAGATCTTGATGATTTGCTACTTTTAGAAACCTTTCCCCTGTAAAGAATTTTCCATTTTTTTTCCCTGCAAAGACCTAGAGACAATCTGCCAGACCCACTTTAAACTTACTTGGGTAATTCATGAATTTATATTAGAGTCTCTTACTAAAAAGGAGACTTTACACTCTTAAATATCTTTTATTGAGCTTTCCTGTATCCTTTCCAAGTTGTCGGCATGCTTCTTAGCCTTTCATGATTTACAGTGTGAATAATTAGTAATAAAAATAATATATGATTATAATAAACCAAAACATGTTGTACCAGATTGTCTTTCCTTGCTGATAGTGGAATGCCTTACATTCCATCGTGTCTGTGTGATGATGTGCAAATATCATTTTGTGTATAAAATACGTTTCCATTTCTACTTTCCTGAACTATCAGTCTTGAAGCCTCATATTATTAGATATTTGTCCAAGTGGAACGATCCCTCAAGTGTATTCTGGAAGATTCAGTAGTTGGTCTGACTCTCTCTCAAAAGTTGTTTGTAGGGGACCACGTTTATGCTGAGGCACTGGAACAGGTTGCCCAGAGAAATTGTGGCTGCTCCATCTCTGGAAGTGTTGAAGGCCAGGCTGGATGAGGCTTTGAGCAACCTGACCTCGTGGAAGGTGTCTCAGCCTATGGCAGAGCAATTGGAACTAGATGATTTTTAAGGTTTCTTCCAACTCTAGCCATTCTATGACTCTATGATTTACATCTAGGTAGGCACTTTTGTAGTAACTGTGAGAGGTGCCTGTCACTGTGTGATTTGTCTCTAGCTTCTAGTGCCATCATGTGAACATGCTGCTCTCTGCTGAATGTTGGCAAAAAGTTCTTTATTCTTCACCTAGAGGCAGGGGCTCTTTGGGGAAGGAAAACAAAGAAGCCCTTAGACAGAAGTTCCTACTTGATTCATGCCTCTGAAACTTGAAAGGTTACACTCATGGTGAGTTTGACCCAACAGTTTTGGCATCTGTGAACCGTATGTCTTTTTTTCAGGTCATCAAAACTGCTGGTGATGGAACACAGCACCCCTTGATGTTCTGCATCTGTGTGAAATGACGGTGTCATCCTGGCCTTTCTACTGATGAGTTAAGCACACCCCAGGCTCTGCATGCCTGAACTGTTATTCATCCTTCCTGGAAAATGAGTTGCAGAGCATAGATAAATCTTCCCTCCTCCTCAATCAGGCCACAGGGCAGCAAAGGCTGGATGGACCCTTACTTGCCCGTGTTACAGAGCTACTCACCGGCATTGTCTGGCTGCCATGCAAGGCATTGATGGCTGCTTGGGCCTCCGCATGTGAAGAGTACTTCACAAACGCACACCCTGGAAGAGGAAAAAGAAGAAAGGTAAACAAGGTTGCATGGCTACCATGAAAGTCCGTCTAGCTGAGTATCCCATCAAAACTGACCAATAAAGATGCTTGTGGAGGAAGTACAACAAGCAAACACGCTCTTGGTTATTCCTTCTCAAACTCCAGTCATCAGCAGCCTGAGGATGTCTTAAAGCAAAGCTGCATCCAGAATCCCCACACTGCTTGTAATGGGCATTGACAGACCCAGACCTAGCAAGTACATTTTGAATCCACTTACATTTTGACCTCCACAGCTTCCCAAGGCAAAGCGTTGCACAATTTTATTATTTTTATGGGTGAAAATTAATTTATTTTTATTTGTATTGGACTTAATGCTGAATGCTTCTCCCTCTGGTGTTATGAGAAACAGTAAGGAATTGTATAAAAGTTATCAGAAAGCTGCATGTACTTGTTACAAGCAACCACAGGACAGCTGTAGAGGAGGCATTCAGGTTACTCTAAATCCACAAGGTACCTTATCATAACACTATCTGGAGGAGCTCCATGACAGACTGCTCAGGGCTTGTCTTGGCTTCAAGCAGCTTTGGCCTGAGTAAGCATGAGAGAGCTTCTGATGAAGAAGCAGGGGTGGGAGAGATCCCATATGATGACTGCCATCTTTCCACCACCAAAATTTGAATCTTGGTCTTTCATAGCTGCAAAGCCAGTGCCTGTATAGGTGTTCTCCTCTGGACATTAGACAAACATAGGCAGTGCTTCTCTGGTCTGCATTGCCATGTGAGGAATCTCACACAGCTCTTACATAAGGTTTTAGGGCAGAAAGGTGCATTTATGAATATGTGCTAGAGTGCAGAAATGATCAACACTTCAAAGGGTCACATGCAGCACTGGAGTGGAGGAAAGTATTGCTAACACTCTTAGCTACAAGCAAACTGACTCAGAGAGAGGAAGAGTAATTTCCATATGCTAAGGCGTTTTTTGGAACAGATTGGAAGAGATTGAGAAGTTCTGGCTCCTGTTCTTTCCTATTACTACCAAAGATTTTTGAGCTTTTAATCAATTTGCAAAGCCCTAGCTGTTTCCCTGAAGGGGTTGCGGATCATTGTGCAGGGGACGCTGGTTCTGACAATGGGACAGCTCTCCGTTATGGCCTTCAGAAATTCCACACACCCTTATGGATCCATATAGCGCAGGGTGAAAACTGCAGCATCAGAACACTCCACCTGCAAACTAGAAGAATGAGCCCCAAAGGTCCCCAAAAATCATCACTACAGGGCAGATTGAAGAAAGCAGTGATAGCCCCTTCTAAAAATAATACACACATATGAAATTAGGTTACAGTTATGAGCCATTCACTTTGCATTATCCCCTCAGACTGTATTTCAGGAAAAGAACAACAATTGTTGCTAATAGTTGGATCTAATTTATAAGGAGCTGAGAGGAGACAATCATGAGAAAATGAGATAGATAAACTTCAGCTGGAAACAATAGGGATCAATTATGACATAATCGCCGTCCAGCATTCCCAGACTCCTGAGATATTGCTCCTTCCTCTTCATTAATCAGAGATAATCCAGAATTAGGGTGCTTAATTATTTGCAGAGATTCTTTTGTACTTTCTGCCTCTAAAAAGGAGATGCTGATTAGCAAATATACAAAAGCTTTCCAGCTCCAGTCACCCATTGCATTTAGAGCAGGGTTTTCAGCTGCACTGTTGCTGGCATGTTGAAGGCTTCACTCTCTTCAGGTGAAACTTACTCTGTGCTGAGGAACCTGACATATCAGTGGAGCTGGATAAAGACGGGAATGAAAGGAGCCGGAGGCGTTTAACTTCTTTAATGACCAAGATGCTAATGGAATCCCTCCTACTGCTTCCAGTAGGTGTTGAGGTAGCAGGACAAGTGAAAACTCAAATTTCAGTGGTGTATGGTAGTGAGGCAGTACCAGAGTTCCCAATTTTTTGGCCTTTTTGTTTGTGTGTTCAACGAGATGGCTTCTGTACACAACATGAAGTGTGCACATAGTCTTCTTCCCTCCTATTTTCACCAGAACTGACTCCAGGACCTCTTGTGCTGAGGATGCAAGTCATATCACTCTCAGAACAATTATGTCCTTTTGACAGGAGCAGAACCAGCGTTTGAAGGGACTTTGACACACAGGGAGATATATCATTTGCACGGAACAGGGACATACATGTGCTCAGATGTTTTTACTTTCCTTATTTCCAGACTATGGAGCTGAGAGGGCTGCTCTGACTGTCTTGTCAGCTTAGAGGACACTGCAGAGTCAGGGCCTAACGTTATAATTGCAGAGGGTGTTAAGACTCCTCTTATAGAACTTCTGGTGCTGTGGGAAAACTTTGCTTTTTGAATTACTGAAGTAGACAATGTGTGAATGGAGGCAAAAAAAGGGCAAAAAGAAGAAGCTGTCCAGAGAGCAGCAGTGAGGATCCTGTGGGATCTGCTGGCTTACCGAACTGGATCCTCTGACTCCTGCACTCCCAGCTGCACACTGGTGAGCTTAACCCAGAAGGGCGTAGGAAGGCTACTTCCTCTCCCATGTCTCCCAGGCAAGACAGGCTCTGCTTTCTCCTTCAAGAAGAGAAATGCCTCAGTCCCAGCTCTTCTGTCACCTGGTTGCATGCTCCAGCCACCATGTCTACTTCTGAGTCACTCATGCAGGAGGTATTTCTGAAGCCCCAAGAAGATGCTGCGTCATGGCTCAGGACATCACCCATGGCTTCAGGCAAAGCTCAGGCAGCTTTCTGGCTGTGACTGGACTGTGGTGGCATTGAGGTGGGAAGCTGGGACATACCTTCTGAGAGCGTTACTTGCACTGAGGTACGTGGAGGACTTAGAAGCTCACCACAGGGAAGCCTGGTGGGGCTTCATGTAATGGATTGGGTAAGATTGGAGTCTATGGGGTCTGATTGCTATCTGGCGCTTAGATAATCTGCTTAAATCTCAATTTAGGTGAAATTTAAGCCTTATGGGTTTTACCCAAAATAAGTAGCTAACAAGAACTGTGTGTCACATAATGGTTTCTAGCAGATGGAAAAACTTTACAGACTGGGAATAACTTTGTGGGAGTTGTGGCTCGCCTGGCTGTCTCCTAAGATAAGGGCACTAGCCTTAAGTTTTCTGTTGGATTGACTGCTCTGTGTACGTGTGTGCGTGTATGTAACTGTGTGCGTGTAAATTAGGAGCTTCACATTCTCAGTAAATAGCACCAGCAAATGGAAGCTGGTAATATTAACTCTGTCAAGGCTCAGTATTGATCCTCAACAGCTCAGTGAAATGCAAGCCTGAGACTGCAGCCTGCTAGCACTAATAATTAAACTGGTTAGCAATATGGAGCTGCCACTCAGATTCAGACTTATAATGAAATTGTTTAAGAAAAAAAAAATAAAGCAAGTATGAATGCAGGTCTGTGGGTTGGTTGGATCTCCTTTGGAACCTGTTTCTTAGAGATCTCAGGCATTATTGCCTTTATTATTACTCTGTTTAACTCCTTTGTCATTAGATTTTGTTCTGTACAATTCCAGGTGGAGGCAGAGATATTTTTTTCTGCTTTTCCCCAGTTTGCTGATTTGTTCAGTGAATGGAGTGCTTAACTGCCTACTGTTACAATGGCTGGATCTCTTCTAGGCCAGCCTAGCCTACCGTTTTCCAGTGGGGCAGCCCCCAACTTTGGGTGTCATGAAACTAAAGTAGCCATACAATAGAAGAAAGGTGCCCACAGTTTATTTTCAGCCGTTTTTATCAGGAAGGCTGAGCTTCGCTGACTTATATCAAACAGCTGCCCTGTAATGCTGGTGTGAAGCCTTTTTTGGCCGATTTTATGGAATAGCAATATTTTTCTCCAGTGTATCACTGTGATCTGGATTTTCTCACCTCCCTGTTGCAAAAATATACTGGTTGATGTTGTCACATGTCAAAATATCCAGTGAGATATGAACTGCGTCAGCAGGACTGGTGCTGCACATTCCAGCACAGTTTATGATATATTATACGCAGATCAATATTTAATGGACACATTATACTGTCAAAGAAGAGCCCTTCCTATTCAAGTTGAAGTTACTTTGTCTAGAGACTGACGGGGAAAAAAATGACCCTCCTATTCAAGACAGAAACCTCATTCTTACACCTAGGCTGCAGCAGACGATCCCTCGTGCTATTCAGGTAACAAGCGATTCCAAAAAGTGGCAGCAGGAGGTAAGGTACTCAGTTTTGCAATGAAGCATTTGCGTGTTTTAAACAGCAAATGTCTACTGAGTGTAAAATTTAAATCAGCACCTGTACCCTTGCAATTGTGATCACTGGCTAGTATGTATCTATGCAAAGACCAAGTGAAGGGGAAGACCTGGGGCTGGCGGGTGAGAAACAAGCAGAGATGATGGTGGGACTGGTGAGTCAAGCTGTAAAAAAAGATTTGGCCTATTCAACTGAGTGGGGAGAGCACATCTTGAGCAAATGTAAAGGCTCTGTGTTCAGAGGGGATGCTCTGCTCTGCGAGAAAACAACCATAGGCATCAGGAACCTATTGATTCCAGGAATCAATACAGGGAGGAAGTTAGGACATGTAGGGAGATAATCAGGGGGGCAAAAGCCCAACTGGAACTTAGACTAGCCTGCTCTGTAAGGGACAACAAAAAGTCTTTCTATAAATATATTAATAACAAAAGGAGGGCTAAAGATCCCCTCCAGCCCCTACTGGACTCAGGGGGTACGTTAGTCACTAGGGATGAGGACAAGGCTGAGGTCCCTAATGCCTTCTTTGCCTCAGTCTTTAATAATAAGGTCAGTAGTTCCCAGGTGAGCTGGCCTTTGGTGTCTGAGAGCAGGGAGAGAGAGCAAATCGAAGCTCCTGTGATCCAAGAGGAACGGGTCAAGAATCTGCTCCTTCGGCTGGATGCCCACAAGTCTATGGGGCCTGATGGTATCCACCCGAGAGTCCTGAGAGAGCTGGCGGATGTCATCGCCAAACCCCTGTCCATTATCTTTGG